GGAGTAAAATCATGCGGTGCTATCCTGCAATAGCTATGCAGTCCAGAGGTAAATACCTTAGGCAACTCTCAGGGCTGTAACATCATTTTGGAAAGATCCTGAACCTACCAATTTCACAACAGTACCAGGCTGTCACCAAATCTACCTCTATATTGGCTGGTACCATAACACTGAGTATCTCCATAGCCTGGGACATGTGCATCTCTGCACAGGATCCCGAGAAACAGTCAGTTGACTCTGAACTGGTTGTTAGCTCTGTGCTGTCTTCAGGGCACTCAGAAAAATAAAGTTGAACTTTGCTCCAGCTAGAGTTGGCCAAGCATTAACCACAGAATTTGCCTGGCCTGCTCGTTCTGGAGGGAGGCAGAGGAGCCGAGGAGATTGCTGGTGATTAAACTGTGCACTGGAAGACCGCCTGCTGCAATCCACACAGTGATGGACGCAAAGATCTCACTTCTGCCGTTTCCTTTTTTTGCATATAGACTCAGTCATAATTGTTATCACATCTAAACAAGAAAACCCCAACATGTTTACATATCACATGGTTCTGTGGCTTTTCATCGCCTCGTCAGTGCAAGGCCAGGATGAAAACCAAATGCAACTTCCCACTTACGTGGCACTTCTCAGTTTGAAAATAAGACCCCAAGATGTCAGCTGCTAAGGAGCTGGGAAATCCATGGTTTAATGTGAACAAAGGCAAAAAGTGACAATGGTTACATGCCATCAGGGAGCATCACCAAATACAAAATAACCCTAAAAAAGCCATGCTTTTATTCCAATAGGGTTGTCCTTCTCTAGCACCACTTTAGCCGTAACCTACTAAGATTCCTGATACAGGCTAGAATTAGGATCATAGCCAAGGAACAAAGGGCTGTATACAATTTATATTCCGATAAAGTTAGTAGTAGGATTGGAGGGTTGTTGTAGCCATGATAATCTAGGAAATGTTGAGAAGCAAGGGTTTTTTTTGTTTTGTTTTGTTTCCGGGGGGGGGGGGGGGGGGGGGTTTTTTTTTTTTTTTTTTTTCTTACCACCCCCCTTTTCTTTGTTTGTGGGGGGGGGGGGGGGGGGGGTTGCTTTTTTTTTTATTATACCTTCTACCAGACCAACTGTTTAATTGGGAGAGTTGTTAGACAAGCTTTCAGACAAAGTGTCCTTCTTCAGGTCTGGGGAAGAAGAACTAAAGAAGGGTACTTTGTGCCTGGAAGCCTGTCTAACCCCCTCCCCTCCCCCCTTCCAATTAAACAGTTGGTCCAATAAGAGATATCACCACCAAAAAAAAAAAAAAAACCTAAACAACAACAACAAAAAAAACCCTTAGAAAAAATTGTTTTGGCTTGAGTTAAACATTTTGTTGGACCCAGAATCAAAAGTTTAGTTTTGCTGTAGTATAATTAAAACTCCTTCAAAACTGAATACCTTTCAGGGGTCTTTTCTGAAAGAAAAAAAAAAATGTCATTTTGAGTCAAATAATGCAAGCATTTAATTTTTTTATTTTTTTTTAATGCTCAGGTATTTCATTTTGATGTTTTTGGGTGCTTCGCCAACAGAAAAGCTCTGGCAAAACAGACAAATTTGCAAAACTTTTAGGGAGTAGCTGACTGAATTTTTCTCTCCGTCTTGCAAAAAATACAGTTGAAGATTTCCTCCCCAGCTCTTGTTGGGACAGACCTAGGATTGTATCCAAAACTGGTGAAGAGCTTCCCTCCTCACCATCTGCTTTTCATACACTGGTAAGATCACCACATCTGGACAGACTTGGAGTCGTACCTATGCAGAGAACTGTCTAGTAGCGTGTCCCCCCCGTCAGCCAGACCCCTCTTAAGAACACCTCCTTTTGCTTGTCCTCTTGCTCTCACTGCCAGTTTGGGAGTCCAGTCCTCCAAGGAATAAAAATAAAATTAATCCCCTTCTCTCTATTCCAAGCTTTTTATCTCCTCTTCCCCTGGCTGATGGCTTTGTAATCCCGGGTAAATCCTCGTCAATCTTTCCCTCCCCTCCACGCCCCCACTTCTCTCTCAGCCACTGACACAGACAGAAAACTAATCAGCTCTCTGGTGTGGCAGTGAGGGGACAGCACAAAGGACAAAAAAAGGAAGCCAGCCCAGCTTCCTCCTCTCCTGCCGGCTCCCCACAAAAGTAATGGAAAGAGGGATTTCTATTGAAATCTATTGCTTACGTACAGCCCCTAGGAGCAAAGAGCAGAGGGCCCCTGCTCTAGAGCTGCTCATCTGGCCTGGAAAGGAAGGGCCTTTACTTACCAGGGAAGTGGAAGAAGTCAAGAGAGAGATCTAAACTGGAAGATGACTCTCTTTCTTGATCAGGCCAAGACATTTGTGTCTGGGGGGCGGAAACAGGGAGGGGATTAATTGGGCAGGCCAGAAGTGATTTGGTTTCTTGAGGAAGTGTGGGAGCAGATTTCTAATCCAACCTGCTGCTTCCCTGGGAGATGACCCATCTTTAGTGATGGTTCAGCTCTCCCCTCAGGGTCACAGGTCTAAGATGCTCAGGGCTTTCCCCAAAGGGTAGAGGCATCAGCCTGCATGAAGAAGGTTGGGTACTCCCACTCAGGGCCCTGAGGAGCTACCTCCTTTGCTGTGTCTGCCTTCTACCCAAGTCATAAAAGTAGTAACAAGACTTTGCCTCTCCACAGCTCATTCTGGAATACAGCTCTGTACATCATTAGCCCCATTTTATAGATGGGACAACTGAGCCATGGGAGAGAACTGGGTTAGCACCCTTCCCGAGGCTACACAACTAGTCAAGGGCAGACCCCTACGCCCCTGTTCTGACCATAAGGCCACACTTCCTTATGTGCCCAATTCCCAGCCTGCTAGAGGGGTACAACCACCCTGGGTTGAGGCCTTCAGGCGAGGATGTCGCTGCTTCAGGCAATGGGAGTACAAGAGAAAGGGTTTGTTTTTCATGCCCCTTCAACAGGGCACTTTCAAAAATGGGAGATCCCCCTCCACACTGAACACATGCTTTCCACCATTATGTGACTGCGAGATAAATCCTGACTCTTCCAAAAGCGCAGACACTATGACAAGGTGTGCTGCTCTGTGTATGGTACCAATAGCGGGCGATTTCCTCTTCCCTGCCCACAGCTCTGGTCTCCTGCTGTCCCACTTCTTATAAGCAGTACTGATGCCACCTCATACCCACTATCAGTGCAGGGTGCAGTTGGGTGGAAAAGGGGGTCATAAGGGCACCAGCTAACCCAGCAGGATGGAAAGAACAAGCCTGCTAGGCCTTGGATTCTGTGCCTCTGGAAAAAAGTCATTTGATTTTATCTGATATCTATTTTATCTAATGCTTCTGAGCAATTAAGACTACATGAGGTGATCCCAATGCCAATACCAGCATTGACTAACTGACCATCTTACATTAGACATAGCCCCAAGGCATGGCACATAGCACATAAGCGATCCTAAAAGAACCTAGCACTGAGCACAGTTCCTGGGGCCTCACAAGAGATCACACAACAAAGAAGTCGGAGGCCTAGTCCCACAGGGAGCTGCCAAGCTGCTCTGCCATAACAATGCAGCATACACACCTCCCCAGGGAGCACATGAGTGACCCTACAATAACACTGCACCAAGCATGGTCCTAGGAACTCTTGTGAGAGCAAGAAAGCAAGTGCTTAACCCAAAGGAAGGAGCTGCATGCAACCTTACAACAACAGCACACCATGTGCAGCCCCCAAGGACGCGATGTGCTGCTCAGAGTCAGGGACTTTCAGCAGATCTTCTCTTCCCTAACAGCCTGTGGCTGTTCTCTTTACTCCTGCCCAAAGAAATACTTTCCCATAGTGACGTACGGGGCCTTTATGACCCACGGATGGCACTGGAGTGGCACACAGGGGCTGTAGCATTGCTCCAAGGAAGTGGCTGCAATAACCCACTAATAACAAGGCTCTGGAGATCCTGAGCGACTCAACCATAACAGTACAGCACGCACAGCTAGAGGGGGGCTGTCAAGCACTGCTCCACCCCCTGCCAAACACTTAAAAAACCAAAGCAGGTAACTCTAGAGCACCAAAGCTATCCTCCCCAAATTAAGCCATCCTAGGTTGCCCCAGTAGCCAAGTGTGATGTGGAGGGTGGGGTAGGATGGGCTGCGAGGGGGGTGGGGGATGTCCAATGCAGTAGCAGAGGAGCACTCAGCTTTTGGGCAGGGTGTGCTGTTCGGACAAGGTCTGGCTGTGGGTATAAACGTTAACGGACCATCTGAGCAGTAAGAGGAACAGCATCCAAAGAGGAAAAGAAAAGGAGGAAGTTGTTGAATTGACTCATTCCAGCTTGAGACTGCTGCGAGCAGAGGGTGGCGGGGGCAAGGGTGGCGAGATGGTGCCAGTGTCAAGCTCTCCTCAGCCCAACCCCTTCCCCCGACTGTCCCAGGACCCTTCCCCTCCAAGCCACACTTGTCTGTGGGTCCCCACTCTCAGCTCAGCCCCTCCCATCCTTATCCCTTTTTTGCTCCCAGGGTGCCAACCCCCCTCTCTCTCCCCCACCCCCCCTTACATATTGCTCCCTCGTGACTGAGCCACCTCATCTAGAAATTCCTGGAGCAAGATACAGAAGGGGCATTCCCCCTTCCCCCTGCCACATATTCCGAGGGGAGGGGGCAGGGCTGATCCCCAGCTTGTCACACAAATCCCAGCACTCAGACTGTCCTCCAATCTCTTTTGCTGAGACCCTCTCTCTCTCAAGCAAGGCAAGCTGTGGAGTTGGGAATAGAGAAATACTGGGGGAGAAAAAGTAAATGCAATTGTTTCAACACTTCTCCCAGCATTTAAAGCTATCACTGTGGCACCCAAGTCCCCTGACCCACTAAGTGCTATATGAGAGCTAGGTATTACACTATCATCAACACGGGACCACCACTCCCCAGTAACACTGAGCACCCCAAAGCCAGAGGAATCAGCCCTCTCTGCCCCTTTCTCCTGCCCCACCTCTCCCTTGTGTGGCTCATGCCAAGCAGAGCCAAGGGGCACTCACGGCTTTCAGCTGCTCCAGCCGGTCCTTCATGCTGCCCAGGTGAGCAGCCGCTTCTCCCAGTAAGCAAAGGGCTCACAGGTGAGCTCCCCAGAGGGAAGCTTTTTCCAGGAAGTCTCAGCCCAGGCCCTGTCCCTGCAGATGTCAAAGGTAGATGAGCTTTCTTTTTTTCTCTTCCTTCCTTCCCTCACTAGGAGGAGTGTTTGAGTCTTGTTAGACTACATTTAAAAAAAAAATCCCACCCCCACCAACACACATGTGCTGCTGTTATTTTTGCCCCCCAACACGCTCAATCTAAGTCTGTGTGTGTGTGCCTGATCCTCCTGCTCTGAGCTAGCCCCAGCTGCTAATCCACAATGACATACACAGGGAGAGAAAGGAGGAGGGATAGAAAAAGACTCAGAGGGAAGGGGAGGAGACAGACAAGAACCACCCACTTTACCTGTGCAAGGGAATCAGCTTCACCAAAACCTCTTAAAGGGACACAGGTCAGGCCAAAGGAGGGAACTCAGAAGAGCTATCCAATCTACTGTCAGAATCAAAATGCTCCAAGAAAGTATTCTTCTATTTTGTGCATTTTTTAAAAATCAAATGAGGTTTGGTTTGTTTTTTTTCCTAGCTGGCTGATCTGTAGCCTCTGGCCCCACCCTAGCCAGATTAGTGTGAGAAATGTGAGGAAACTGAGGCTTGTTGGTTGTAGCTGTTGGTCTAAGGGCACAGGCAGACAAGGTTCTTTGGGTAAATGTGATATCTTTTATTAAACCGACCAAATAGTTGGAAAAATTGTTCTTTGCCAGCTTTTGGGCACAAACACCCTTCTGCAGGCATAAGGAGAGTCTGCTGGTGTTATGTGTTGTCTAAGGTAGAACAGAAGCCATTATGCAAAATGCAGGTCTGTGAAAATGCAAATGTGTGGCAGTAGGATCAGAGGAAAACTGAGGCAGAAACTGCCTGTGTTCCCAGCAGGCTTGTCTGTTTCTAAGGAGGGAAAGGCACAGATTCAAATTCCTTCTAATTTCACCATTTTAGGGAAAACCCAGGGTCCTGATTCTGCAGTGGGTTTCATGCAATCAAACTGCTATGCCCAAGCACAGAATTCCCCCTGCCTTCTTCCAGGATCTGCCTTCTCAGAGCTCATCATATGATCAGGGCCTGGGTGGTTTGTGGGGACACAGGTCCAAGCAGGGTCAGGGGAGGTAGAGAGGACAGACAGTTAGAGTATTAGCAGTTTATGATTTTTTAACCTGGAAGCATCCAGAGAAGGTCAGATTCTGAAGGGGGCCCCTCCAGGTGAATGACACATGAAAATAAACTGACCTTGATATCACCCTTGCTGCCTAACTATGGGCTTTACTGGCCCTAAGAACCAAAAGGGTTGCAAAATTGTGTACTTACATCCAGCATGGTTGGCTCACTCGTGAGAATGACATGTGGCAACCCAGGGATTCAGTTCTCTGTCTCTGCCACAGACTTCCTCTGTGACCTTGGGCAAGTCACTTAAGCCCTGATCATCAAAGAGCGTCAAAGGCACCTGATTTCCAATGCTTTCAGAGGGGTTGAGGTACCTAAATAGGAGATAAGTGCCTACACTCATGTGCAGAGCTTTGTCTTAGCTACTCTGTGCCTCAGTTTCCTGTGTTTATAAGGGAAATAATAGCACTGTCCTAGCTCACAAGGATGTTAGGAGGATAGAACCACATAATAGTATTAAGGGGCAAGAAGGAGGCTCATGGGTTATTTAGTCCAACCCCATTTGGTAATGACTGCAGCACTCAGAGGCTGTAGTGATGGGGGCAATGTAAGTACTTTAGTAAAGAAATATGATACAGTCCTCCTGTCTCAAGTATACCCACTTCCTTGCTATGCGGGGGCTGGTGTAGGGCAGTCTGTAGTTTTCCCATATAGTACCTACCCCAAAGAGTTTCTTCTTAGTGCCCATGTCTTCTGTATGGCAGTGACAATATACAGAGCAAGGGGAGACTTCCCTGTCCTTGACTTGATTTTGATTTTCTTCAAATCCATTTAGTTCCAGAACATGGGAGGAAAACTCTAGATATCATGAGTTTGGTGCCTGTGCCTCATCAGTTAAATGCTGAGAAGAATCCCACTCCACACTTCAGAGTCCGCCTACGAAAACAGGGAAGATAAAGACTTGCTACTCATGTAATTTCAAAGATAATATACAAGCATAAACATACCTTCTGTTCATTTGGAGTGGGTGGACAGACTGCCAACAACCAGCTTTGATGACAAAAATAACTTATCTGCAACAAAATAAGGAAACAGATACTAAAAGTAGGTATCATGTGCATGTAGTATAATGATTATGAAGTAACAGTGACCGTAAATCATGTCATTACTGAAAAATGTTAGTTAGACAATGGCAAATTAGAAAAAAAATCAAGTAATGATTGGAGCTGGGTGATTGATTTATTTTTCAGTTTGGTGGACCCTAAAGGGAAAAGTTTTGGGATTTTTGCCAAAATGACATACCTCCCAAGAAAAGCCTGTCTTAGACCTAACTGAAGTGAAACATTTCACCTTCCTTTGGGAATTTTTATTTTTTATTTTTGCTAGTTTATTTTAAAATTTTAATTTAGCTAAGTTGATTCAGGAAATATCATTTCAAAATGAAAACTAAACCTGGGTTATTTAGAGAAAATGTTATAAAGAAATATTTTGACTTTTCTAAATTTTTCAAAATATATTTTTGGCCAAGAGTCATCATTTTAAAACTGCATTCACAGATAGTTTCAGTCCCTCCAAAACTGCTTTTTCTGACAAATGAACTTTTTGAGCAAAATTTTGAAGTTGCTGCAGATGCTTCCTCAACCTGACAAAGGGTATTTGTGTCCTAAAGCTTGCAAAGAAGATTTTTTTCCAACTAGTTGAGTTGGTCTAATAAAAGATATCAGATTTACCAAAGAGCCTTGTCTGCCTATGTCCTTACACCAACATGGCTACAACCTATACCCCTGAAATCTGAATAGTGTTGCTTTTCTGATGGAATAGTCTTTAGCAGAACAACCTTCCAAGCATTTCATGTGGGTTCCAGGCTTGATCAGGGAATGTGAGGGGCCTTCTTATGAGTATCTGTAAAACCCTGCACCCTGGCTAGGCCATCAGTGACTGGCAACTCTGCATTTTAATGTGTGAGTCTTTACTGCTTTTGCTAAAAGACTCAAATCTATTAGAAATGGCTGTAGGAGAATCATCATGTTAGTAGTTACAGCTCTGTAGGATCCTAAACCCCTCGTGTGTCCCAGCCACCACTAGAGGGAGACACACCACTATTCTAAGTAGAAGTGGATTAAATGAAATAAATGAAACTCCAGGCCAGTGATTCTCAACTCAGGGTGCTGCAGGATCCTTTTAAAGGTATGGCAGGATGGTGTACAATTTAGCACTGTTAGCTGTGCAGACACCTACAAATGATTCACAAGATAAACCCAGATATTTCAAACAGGAATCCATAGTGTCAAAAAACATTCTGACCTGTTGTGGTCTTCCTGAGTTTTTTTGGAACAGAACAATTGTTCTGTTATTTTTCTGAAGTCATACAATGAGTGAAGAGTAAGAGCTGGCATTTTTCAAGGGGTGCTTTGAGTCTAATGAGGGGTTTCTTCAAACTAAAAAGGTTGAGAACCACTGTTCTAGGCCATAGCAAGTAAAGGGTCATCATATTCCCTTAGGAATTGCCCGATCTTTTGGTCCCTTGGGGCAGATGAGCGGTGTGGGGTAGGTTCATGGGCTGGATCCAGTCCATGGGCCCGATCTGGTGCACTCAGGGCTGGAACCCTATCCAGTTTATGCCAGATGGGGCCTGGTCCCATGTGTCACATTGCACCTGCCAGCTGGAACCTGCATATGGGGCCATGTCATCTGGTCTGTGGAGCTTGGAAATTTGGCAGTGAGGGAGTAGTGGCAGTGTTAATTTGCCACCGCTCCCCTGCACCAGATTTCCAGACCCTGGTACACAACCTTTAGAGCAGTGGGTCTCCCAACAGAGTGTGTGAGAGGTCACACACTGAAGGGCTGGGGAGCAGTATGAGAGGGGCTCATAAGGGAAGAGGGTTGGGGCATGTGAGCGGGAGGTCAGATATGATAGTGTAAGTGGCACAGCAAGGCAAAGGTCCCTCACTGAGTGGGCTGAACATGTAAGCAGTGTTGGTCAATCCTTGAAAGGATGATGTAGGCAATACACATGGGACATATGGGATTACCAGGTCCTGGGACCTTAGCAGATGTAGCAGCCTTGCCCTTTGGAGCTTGGGTTCAAGCCCAGGCTTGAAATCTTGCTGTTTTGATTGGTGGAGCCCATCCACCAATCAGGAGGCAGCAACAGGAGTTAAGTCATGCCCTGAGGGGAGGGGGAGAGGAGTGTTTCCCCCGCCCCCCCCCCAATTCCCGGACCTGATCGATGACTGCAATGCTCAGGTCTGGAAGACTTCAGGGGCGGAGCCCTGGAGAGTATAAAAGGAGCTGCATGCCCAACATGAAGGGACACATCCGGGACAGAGAAGAGAGAAGAGCAGGGCTTAGAAGAGCTGAGGAGAGCTGCTCAGCAGGGTGAAGCAGTAGCCCAGAAGCGCCCCTGAAGACTTCCATCAGCGGGGAACGGCAGACGGCTCCAGCAGCTAGGCTCTTGGTGTGCAGCACGGCACACGGTGTCCAGACCCTGGGAGCTGCATGAGGTGGCTCGGGTCTACAATTTCTGGTGTGCGGTCAGAGACACGGTGCACAGGACGGTGCACGGAGTAGGACCTTTGGAGCGCTTGGTGGCTCAGGTCCTCAACCCCCGGAACGAGGCTGGGAGCTCGGTGCAGGAGGCACTGCACGGAGGGTCCGGGAGCGGATGAAGCATGGTGCACGAGGCAGTCCAGGCCTCCGACCCATAGCAAAAGGTTGTGTCTAGAGAGCCAGATGGTGTTCAGGCTACTGAGCCAGCAGACAGGGCCGAGCCAGAGGCCCCAGAAGCCCTGCATAGCGGAGCCCTGTTCCAGGGGACAGCGTCCCCCTTGAAGCCCACTGCAGGTGAGAGAGCAGCTTGGCGCAGAGGACGAGGGCCACCCTCCAGGCCTGGGAGCCTCAAGGAAAAGAGAATTCCCACAGGGCAGGGGGCGTCCCCCCTGGTTAGTGAAGGGCTCCTGAAAGTGGAGGTCCCACTGAGAGGGCCCCCCTTAAGTTACCAGCTTCCTCATAGGGCTTGGGAAAACCCCAAGGGCATTGGGGTTTCCCCTTGGGATTAAGTTTATCTTTGGGGTTCTTGCGCCACAAGTGGTGTGATGCCATGCCTTATATTTTGTGAACTCTCATGTTTGTAAATGAGTAGATGAGTCGAGTCCTAGGGCTCTGCTGGGACCCCCTG